TGGTTTCCTTATTTATCGGCGTTGAACTTCTGTACTCACATTCAAAAAATGTTTGGCTATGAAAAGAATCTCTTAGAGCAGCGCGAGACAAAACTATGTTGTAGAAAAGGTGAATCACTTTCCTCCTAGTTGTTCGATCTGACGTTTTAAAAAGAAATATTTTGAATCTATCTGGCGAAATCAACTACAGTTGCGTTACTTTGACCACCCCTTTGTATCATTTGTATGCCTATTCACAAAGGACGGAAACTATTAGACCAGTTGCCCGCACCAGAAAATGCATTGAAGTGTCAGTAAAAATAAGAACTGATTTCCTGAGAAGCTATTTGTCTACGTTCCATATGTACCTAAAATTGTGTGTTTGTACCGAATGTACTTTCAAACTAAATAAAGGTACGATTGTAACAACTTTTCCATCACTATAGGTAATACAACAGCTGATTTCGTGAACACCAAACTCAATACCGCAATTTAAAGCCTAATTGCCTCAGCTAATTGGCCTGTTTGAACATATACAGTATATTTTGCTTTGCTGCCTTTATGCTTAAGTGCACATTTTAGATACCTACCCCAAAATGCGCATCTGAGACATTATTTTTAACATTTATAAGGAAATTGCTCCGATAGATGCATTCAACATACCTGCATATTGGCGATAGCTGCCTTAAAAATTGTGCAACTAGTATCAATTATCAAAGAAAGTATTACCTTTACCTGCACTGGCCTACAATTACCTAATTTTACAAGCTTTTATTTATTTTACTCATATCGCAGAACAACGGAAATGGCTATCAATTTGTCTAGTTATATAGATATTAAGATACCATTCGAAAAAAAAATTTCGCTTGCATTATTTTCTACGTGATAAGTGCTTCTCCATTATTTGGTTTCATAGGGATTCGGATACCTTCCTTATTGAAGTAGTAACGAAAATTCGCTTAAGTGCCTTTTTCGGTTAGGTGCACAAGTTTTTCGTGCAAAGAGGGATGTGCAGCTAAGCAAAATATACTGTACTACGTTTATACGCACGCATTATTTGCAAATAACAATTTGCAAAATGGTAAATTTTGCCGTATAAACGCAGAGTTAATTTTTTATTTGCAAATAACTAAATCACGCAAATAAGTATTGATTAGTGCTACTATTTGCATATAAGCGCAAGACGCTGCCATTCTTAGGTTAATTTTCCTTTTCGATGGTCATCTTATTGCCCTTTTATAATCAAGAGGTTGCCATTTTTAACTTTAATTTCCTTTTCGATGGTCATATTATTGCCTTTTTATAATCAGGCAATATTAAAAAAGAATTTTTCACCATCGAATAAACAGTGAGTTAGGTATTTGCAAATTATTTTTATTTGCAAATAGCTTACGTATAAACGTAGTAATAGTCTTAGTGCTAAAAACACTAGCCTGACAATGCCGAAAAATCTTTTTATTGTCTTTGGTAGGCAACTGTCAAAACAATAACCTAGACAATAACCGGACAGGCAAGGAGTTTTGGTTAAATCAAAATAAAAAATAAAAAAATTACGAATTAGAGGTAATTACATATTTAGTACTGACTAAATTTTATGCTCATGTGCGATGTTCCTGAGACTAGCTAGCTTGCAGGGCGTGGTGGCGCGCCGGCTTGGTTGGGCAAGTATCAATAGGTACATATATATCCACAATTCTCCTAGGGTCAATTTGCCGCACGCGCTGAGCCTATTTGGAGTCAATCACCAAAAAAAAAAACTTCGGCGATTGCCATGGAACAGTGCTCCCATAACATGTCTCAGCTACGGTCTGGATTATTTTGAAAACAGTAAACTGGGCAATGATCTTATGTATGGAGGCAATAATCTTAACGTCTTGTGCAAGAAATAAGAGAAATTCATAACAAAATTACTGGCATAAATAAAGAGTCCCTGATGTGTATGTAACTATGACTCTTCTTTTTTATTTTTGAGTTTCTAGCTTAAAGAGGTCTCGCGAAATGCGTATTTCTGCAACTTATAATTCAACGTTCACGGTCGACATTTTGCTCAAAAAGGATTGTCTTGACTATTGTGGCTACGCCACGGAGACAATTACCAGCGCGTTTGACAACTAATATGGATTTCTTTAATGTCTTGACAGCATTGTCTGATGTAAACAAGCCGTAAAATGCCGTTCTTTTACGAGGCTCACAAATTTACGAGCTTAAAGCTGCCTTCACATGAGGCGATTTTTCGATAGGCGATAATCGCTTGCATAAGTTGACTTGCTGTCTACTTTGAGGCAAGCAATTTTTGAATCACTATTTATAGAGCGATTTTTCCAGAGCGATGTTGAATCGCCTGGAAGACCATCTCTTGTAAAGGCAGCTTTACGAGGCTTTTACGAGTTGAAGGGAAGACCCTTAAAGTGTGTTTGCATTGTTCAACTTTGCTTTCAACATTTGCGTTCAACTCAGCGCAGGGTTGCACGAAAAAGAAGTTAATGGCTAAAAATATCAAAATATTTTACATAAAAAGGTGTTTGCATTGTTCAACTTTGCATTCAACTTGTGGTTGAATGGCCTTGCTACTAACCGCTTTCAACACAGTTGGTCGCCAGCCAACATTTAGCCATTCAACTTTTTTCGTGCAACCCTGCGTTGAGTTGAATGCAAAGTTGAACCAAGAACGATAGAATACAAGATTGCGCATTCCCGCAGAATGGCATTTGTGGCAACGGGTAAACAAAGAATACGGCGAAGAACAATGAGTTGACAGTTGTGAATTTGCAGTGAGAAAACGTGTTTTCTTCACGATTCACCAATTTCTCAAGCCATCTTTGAATATAGCAAATTAAGCACAACGTTAGCAAAAAATATACAACCACTCTTGAAATGTGTTCAAAAGAATAGGTCTTATAAATTAACTATTTAGCGTAAAGTAAAAGATTGACAGATCAACCAGGATTTTGTGTAGCAATTTTTGTTTAGCAGTATTTTCCATAACATCCCGCCATCTTGTCTCTATCACTCTTGGCTAAAATACAGTTAGTGGAGGAAATTCATTAATTATTTTCGCGTAATATATTTTTCATTTGTTTTCATTATTTAATCATACATTTTAGTATAAAAGTTTCGGCTTCTCGGCAACACTGAAGTTTACGAGGTCGTTTGCGTATCAAATTTTCCTCGTAAATTTACGAGGGGCTCTTAAATAGAGCTCCATAAAAATTTTGACAGTTCTTTTACGAGGCTCGTAAATTTACGAGCTTTACGAGGTTTACGATGGTTTCAGGAGTTTATCACTAGCTACACACGACGAACATGCGCATCAACGTGCTCGCTGTCATTTGCCACAGACGGTGAGCGGCTCATATGTGATTTAGTGGTTTAGCAAAGACGCGGATGATGAAATTCAAATGTTTATGACTAAGGTTATTTTACCGGCCGTCTTCACGTGCTGGAAAATCTCGCTTGCGTGACGACGCATGCGAGAAACCGCACGTGTAGACCGCAAAAAGTACGAAGCATGCTTTTTCTCGCATACCGAGCGGTATGCGAGCTCTCGCTTGCTTTCAACTTTCATTTTTGTTGCTGGACAGCTATGTTCTCATTTCGCAGAATTCTTCAGAGTAGCAACATCGTTTATTTTGGAGGCAAATACAACCTTAGAGGCAGCCATTTTTCATTTGAAAATAGTATAGATCTCTTTATGCAGATTTTCTAATTTTCTCAAACTTTTAAGAGCCTGCAAGGCTTGAACCTTCTTGTTTGGCGACATTTTACAAATGAAAAAGTATGCTGTCAAATGCCCAGCCAACAAAACTCTATCTCGCGCGACATCGATGCAGCTATATATTCCGCTTCATCGCCGCCATTCTCATTGATGAACTTTTCTGAAAAAAATTTAATACATTTTTAATTGAATGTTAAACTAAGAAAGGATAAGGGGAACTCATCATTTGAAGACTCGAATGCTCCACCGATTAGCGCAGCGGGTCCTGGATTGGATTTTCTGGTTTTACCGCATTGGTTTTATTTAATTTTTTCTTTTAATAATATATTTAAAAAAA